CAAATCGTTAATTCTCGATACTGCCGGCAAGAATAGCAATTATTTTTCACGGATTCACACGACGTACGCACACTCCCCCTTGCTTCTAATAGCCCAGACCGGAAACAGACTCCCTTCAGGAGTCGCGGAAGTCTGGAGGACGAAGCCTTCAAGCAAATTGCGGAGAATTTGATTTAAGGCAGTAAGCAATGACGAGAAACACTGTGGCATTTGCGCTAAGGCAATTTCTCACAAGAATGGCTAAAAAGCGTGCATTACAAGGTTGACCATGTACAAATGAGCGCAGCGCAAAAACGAAGGATTGTCATTTTCTGAGTGTAAAGCCAAATATCCAAGATTTTGTAACAGTGATGCGGCTTTGCGTCACTGAACTGCAAAAATTACGGTGCCACGGATCTATGTCTGGCCTCAAGCGCCACTTTGACCAAGAAAAGCAAGGTACGATGTGATATAGACAACGGATGAGGAGAATTGTAATTTATATATGATTACATTAATTGACATGCTCAGAAAGGGCAAACGTTTTTCGCACTGTTTGTGTACTGGTGTTTATTTTGTTCCGGTGCTAAGAAGCTTCGAACTGTTTCATATTCTTTAGGATACCTCTCACTGCAAAGTCGCATAATGAACAACACAGCACGCAGTTGTTGAAGGTAGCGCCTTGATATACGCAAATCAGTGAAAAGTTTGAATGTTTCGATTTCATAGGCGAGAAGTAGCCTGACGAACGGGGACAGACGAAACGGTTCATCATCATTAGACACTATGCCAGGAAATGTAAACGTTTGAAATGGGGTAAAGTTTGTGACCTAGAAGTACATGAGTGCATGTGTTCATCACCTTGAGCCATTTGCACAAGCAAGATGTCTCTCGTTTGTGATATCCGCTGTATCCGCAGCTTCTTAGAGGTTGCAGTGGGGCATCGGTTACTGCATCGTAGAAAAATATCTCTGTGATAACAAATCTGCCCATACTTTGAACCTCCGCGCACGCTGGTTTCCTGATCGACGTATGCCATGCTTCGACTCCCACAGAAGAAGTCAGCGGGTTGGGGCAAATGATTTATGCCCAGTTAGATCTGTCTCACAAGGCCTGCCTCCTTCTCTCCATAGCTACTGAGACCACTTCTGCCCGGAACAGATCAGAGGTAGTCATTCCATACGAGGTCCTTGTCATCCAACTGTCATCACACGTCGAAGATAACGACGCCATACGCAGCTAAATGGTCGTTCACTCCTTCGCAAGAACATCTCCTATGTGCTACAACAACGCGCAGAGCCGAAATGGCTAGACAGGCGGATTTCCGTGGAAAAACTGTTTCCATTCTCAGCCTAAATTTTGAACAGGCTTCGAGAGATCCACAGACTTGGGTTATTCAATTGATGTAGCGTCAGACTCACAGTCATGAAGTAAAGGGTTAAAGATCCAGTGCGGTCACTTGCCTTTCTTCTTTTTAAGGTAGATAAATGAGCACTACCTTGTGAGAAGGGAACATGGTACCACACGCTGCAACAGTGCAACAGTCAAATACTTGTATACGTATTCTTCAGAAAGAAAAACTAATCAGGTGCTTCTGGCTGACGATCAAGCTTATCGGCACCGCTCTAAAAGCATCATGAAAAAATGCCACAAACAGCACCCTGCCATGAAATGGTAGAATAGGCTGAAATCACAGCTTCATAAGTAACAGCAATTTTCATTTGATTGGTCGTCACATACAGGCTTAATATCAGATGTACTTTACTGGTAAGCCATTTTTTGGCTAGTCAAATGGGTTGGCACAAAATGATCATTTCTACAACTTCTGAAAAATTACAAATGGGCGATGACCAAAACTGAACTACTACAGATAATACACAGAAACGTGTTACAGAAGTAAAGGCGCCTTCTGATTTCAAATCGGGAGGGGGTACGAAGGATTTAAAATACATCCTTGACTTAATTCAAGTCCAACGTTTCGACTGTAACGGTGTCTGAGTAACAGTCAAGCATGTAACTGTAGAATTAGGGCTGCCAGACATTGCTCAATTCTTGCTCTATCTATGCGAGGAACAAAAAATACAACTGTTCACCCACGGCTTTCTCCATTTCATTAAAGCACCACTAGCATTCAGTAAACAAACGTTTAGACGTCGATGCACTTCATGATTTAATGAAAACCTTCGTCTTGTAAGGCATCACTAAAATACAGATTATGCTTAAGCAACAGTCAGTTTATCAGTCTAATTCTGCATGGGGCAGTGGCGCAATTCGTCAGTAGGTTGCTTTGCATGTCAAACGCAATTGCTGCGTGAATTTTTTCTTGTTAACTGCTAATTCTCATCGAGCAACGAACGTACCCCACTTTGCTTCGGTGCAACCAGCCGAGAAATGGGTTGGTATCAGGTCAGTGTATTTGCGAACAGTAGGATAAACGTGGTGCTTTAGTGTGGTCATGCCAAAGCTAGCGAGACAAATAGCCATGCAAGCTATTTCGCGAGCTTCACGGTTGCAATTATGCTTGGTTGACCCGATAGCTCACAAAAGCACAAGATTTTAATGCAAATTTTAAAATATTCATTTTGATGCAGATGGACCAATTGGAAAAGCCAACTAAGATCGATTGTCATCGTCCTCAATAATCCTAGGCACCTTCTCAGTATTCCAACACTAACACTCGTGGTACAGAAATACGATGCTGTTCACGACACATGGTCAAGTCGGTGTCTTGAGTTAAGATAGATGCAGACGTTGCTGCCACAGATCAGAATCGAATAGACTCAGAGCTATGAAACGATCTAAGTCAGCATCCTCAAATTTTCTCTTTGAGTCTTTTCAGCTTCTCATTTTCAATTTTATACAGACATCCGTCCACAGTTGCGTCAGCGGCTGAAATGAATGCATTACGTTTCATCACATTTCCGTGTGGATGTGGGCCGTCGAGTCACACTGCTTCTGTCTGTATAACGTAGATGATTTGTTCGGCTTTAAAAAACAGGAAATATGATCAAAGACCATAAAGTACGGTGGAGGGCCCCAAGCGAGAACGGACGTTAATAAAGAGTTAATAAGCACAAACAAATGTACATTGTCGACAAGCAAGTAACTCTAGAAAAGATTACCGCGTCCGCGTTCGCGTCCCCGGCTGGCCCGTTCGTCTTCCGTGACGTAGGATCAACGAAACCCGCAGCCCTTTCGGTTCGTCGTAAACATGGGGCTTTCGTCAGCCACCATGAGAGGAAAAACCAAAGGCACCTTTAGCAGAGAATGACTGCAAAGCGATGCTCGAATTTCGAGTTTTCGAATTCGGCCTCGACTAATGACGGCGAGTCGTGCGTGCTTCCGGCAACTGTTTTCAACGGCCACCTTTTTTCTTCCATTATTCCAGTCACTTTTCGGGTCGCGCGAAGTGTCGCCGAAGTTCGGGTAAAAGTTTCTCCGGAGTCGTTGACACGTGTCTGAATTCTGTACCACATTACTCAGCATCTGGTTGTCTCAATCACTCAACCACTCACCTCATCAATTTACGGACCATCCACCGCAGGTCGACTGAAACGTGTACAACACGCTGTTAAGGCTGGCTGCGGCGAAGCCTAAAGCATGACCTTTCTCATCACATAACTGTTAAGCAGGTCGATCAACAGTTTAAACCTAGCGACAACACGCTAAGCTTCATTTCTACACAGTTTGACATCATGAGAAAGATTCCCCGAGCTTTCACTTTAAAATGAGACCAGAAATATTCAAAATAGCACATATAAGAGTACCTTCGTGCATATGACAGAAAAACGTTTTAGCCATATTCTTAAATTTATTAAGTTTCATAACACGTTACATCTTTCATCGTTACGGTAGCGACCAAAAAAAACTTTTTTAATGGTCATTCACAAATCAGACAAGCTTTATAGGCACGTAAATACCATTTGCATCAAGATCTGGTTTATTATTCCTTTAAAAAGGGTTTAAGCGAGTTAACCCCTGAGGATAAATTTCATGACTATATAAGAAACAGTTTTTCTAAGGTAAAGTTGGGCGACTGTCTCCATTCCTCTGATTCCAGATTTTGTCAGTAGTTATGCAACACGGATTTTTCGAAATCGTTTGAAGAAAAATTTATCGAAACTGTTTCTGTATTTATTTCATAGCAGGCG